ATCCCTGCTTGTGGCTGGGGAAAGCAGTAGAGGATGGCCCAAAGCCTTGGGACTCTGTGTCCATGTGGGAGACTTGAAAGAAGCTGCAGGCTCCTGGCTTTGCATTGGCTCAGCTCCAGCTGTGGTGACCTTTTGGGCAGTGGACCAGTGGATTAAGATCTCTCTATTTCTGCAACTGTCTGTACATAGCCTTTCCAATAAAAATAAACAAATATTTAAAAAACAACAGCAGGGCCCAGTGCAATAGTGTGGCAGTTAAGGTCCTCGCCTTGAACGCACCAGGATCCCATATGGGCGCCAGTTCTAATCCCGGCAGCTCCACTTTCCATCCAGCTCCCTGTTTGTGGCCTGGGAAAGCAGTGGAGGACGGCCCAAAATCTTGGGACCCTGCACCCACATGGGAGACTCGGAAAGAAGTTCCTGGTGCAGCACTGGCCGTTGTGGTCATTTGGTGAGTGAACCATCGGACGGAATATCTTCCTCTCCGTCTCTCCTCCTCTCTATACATCTGACTTTGTAATAAAAAATAAATAAATCTCTAAAAAATAAAAAGAACAATAACAGCAAGGGGTACAGTGTTTGAACAGATGACCATCCAAAGAACCAAGCGGCACATGAGAGCAAAGACATTTTCACTTACACGTGTGGACTTGGTTGTATCCCAGGAGTAAAGTTCTGACCCCCTTGGTCTTTTTTTCACTTTCATACCTCAAATCAGCAGGCCATGGTTGCAAAGGAGGCTTGCAGCTTATCTCCTAGAGAGGCAGATTTGCCGCTCCAGGTAGCTCACCACTTATCTCTGCCCTTAATCTTGGGCATAGGGCAACCTCAGGAGGCACCCAACCGACAGCAACTGATAAATCAGAGTCACAGACAGTTTAAAAAAACACTTCATTATCTTATAGCTGGGCAATCACAGGTGGGAGTGGGATTCCTGGAAGTGGCAGGGAGCCAGCCCTCTTAGAAAAGAGGCATATTTCTTTTTAAAAATTCATTATTGTCATTGGAAAGGCAGATTTACAGAGAAAAGGAGAGACAGAGAGAAAGATCTTCCATCTGGTGGTTCACTCTCCAAATCGCTGCAATGATCTGTGAATCATGCACAGAGCTGAACTGATCTGAAACTAGGAGCCATGAACTACTTCTGGGTCTCCCTCATAGGTGCCAGATCCCAAGGATTTTGGCCATCTTCCTCTGCCTTTCCAGGTGATAAGAAGGGAGCTGGATGGAAAGTGGAATAGCCAGGACATAAACCAGTAACCACCTGGCATCCTGGTGCTTTCAAGGGTAGGATTAACCAATTGAGCCATCACACCAAGCTCAAAGAGTCACTATCTAAACAAGCAACCAACACCAAAATACCATGCAGCCAGAATTCCCGAAGCAAGACATCTGCAGACCCCAAGAACCTTTAGCAAGGATAGTGAAGAGTATTCTGGGACAGAGATCAGGCACACAACATGCCAGGAGCACAGGACTAGGGGCCTTCCTGTCCGTGAAACATATAAAAGCAGGATGACCAATTGTTCTGGTTTGCCCTGGCAGGGCCTCATTTCAACATTGAAAGTCCTGTGTTGCAAAAACTTCTTCCTGTGAGACTGTTAGGTCAGTTGGTCACCCTAGAGTGAGGGATACTTCCAGTTTCCTTGAAAAGGCGGGCAAAGAGGCCTCCAGGCTCATAGCTGAACCTTCGTTCATTTCCCTTGGGCACGTAATGGGGAATAGTGACCTTCACATACCTTCTGGTCCAGCAGGCCAAGAATCATATCTGACTTACATAAGAGTGGGAAACTGGCACACAGTTGTGATCCCAGGCCTACTGTAACAAGTGATAGTGATGAAGAAAGACCTTTGGACAGTAGCCAGGTCCAGAATCGGAGGAGAAGCAGTAACCAATCCAAGATGAAGGTCAAGGTGACAAAAGATACAAGTAGCAGTTGTTTCTGAGTCAAGAACAGTGGACTGGCCTGGTTCACTGATCAAGGCCCTGTACCCTACAAACTTCTTTCCCTAAGACTAGAGCTGGGTGACAGTTGCTAGTAAGGAACAATGAATGTGGATGCAACACAGCATTCCTTTCCTTCACCCAGGCCCTCTGTTGTCAGCAGTCTGTCCTTTTAAGAGAAATCAGTTCTGAACTTTTATCTGAAATCTTCATATTTTGATTATCCCATACCCAGTAAGTTACATGCAAATTTTTACATGTACAAAATATCTTCCTGAGACAATAGCAGCCAGCTTAGTGGCTAAAGTTCTCGCACTGCATGTGCTGGTATCCCATACTGGCACAGTTCGTGCCCTGACTGCTCCACATCTCATCCAGCTCCCTGCTTGTGGCCTGGGAAAGCAGAAGTCTTGGGACCCTGCACCGACATGGCAGACCTGGAACAAGCTCCTGGCTTCTGACTTTGGATTGGCTCAGCTCCAGCTGCTGTGGCCACTTGGGGAGTGAACCAGCAGAGGGAAGATCGTTCTGTCCCTCTTTCTCTTTTCATCAAGGTTTCCAAGATGCTGAAGATGACTTAAGAAACACTTGAACAAAAAAAAGGAAAGAAAGAAAAAAAATTAAGTTATTTGAAAGGCAATTACAGAGAGGGAAACAGATCCTCCATGCATTGCTTCACTTCCCAGATAACCACAATGGCCAGGGATGGGCCAGACTGAAGCCAGGAGCTTCCTCCATGTTTCCTATGTAGCAACAAGAAGCCCAAACCTGGGCCATCTTTAGCTGCGTCTCAGGCTATGAAAGTGGAGCAGCGGGGGCCTGAACTAGTGCCCGCGTGGGATACTGTTGTTGTAGAGAGTGGCTGTGCAGGATATACCACAACGCCAGCCCCTAAGTGATTTTTTTAAGGTCCTTGTTTTCTCATCCTGTGATTCTTGGATATGATTCAGGATAACTGATCTGAACTTAAGTGTCAAGTTCAAAAAACCCAAGAAATAACTTCTGGAGAAGCATGCTAAATGTGAACCTCAGACAACACAGGCTCAAGTTTCCTCTGTCGTGAATGGTGAATAGTGGTGGCTATTGGGACATGGCATGGTGGTTCAATCCTTGCCTCAAAGCACTTATTTAGAGCACCCAGGTGGGTGCCAGTCATGTCCCGGCTGCTCCACTTTGCCTCCAGCTTATGACTTGGGAAAGTAGCCCAAAGCTCCTGGCTCCTGGCTTCATCAGCTTAGATCTGGCTGTTGCAGCCATTTGGAGAGTGAAATAGCGCACAGATCTTTCTCTGTCTCTCCTTCTCTCTGTAAATCTGCCTTTCCAATAAAAACAAATTTTGTTTTAAAAGGTGCCTGTTTAGGTGTGATTAACATTTGAATCAGTGGTTGACACAGCAACTACTGAGAAGTTCTCTCAAGTGTCTCATCCTTACCTGCCTGATTTTCCAGTTTTTCAGCCTGTCCTACAAATTTCCTGGGAGTTGCCAGGCCCCATAATTGCGTGACTGAATCACTTTCTTAATATAAACCCCCTTTCTCTTTCTGATTGATAGAGAACCCTAACTAGAGCGGGTACCATTAGTCATTTACTTCAAATTACAACCCTGGAATTTTTCTTTCTCACTCACTCTCTCATAGACACATCCTTGATCAAAACGTTCAGCGCAGGCCCAGGGCAGATCTGCAGCCATTTAGAAGGAAACGGTATTACTCAACAGGGACAGGTGATAAAGCTTCAAGTTACAAGGGCAAAACTCCAACTTGGTCAAACTGGTAACAAGCAAGTGAAGAGGACAGTTGGCCAACCGAAGGACTGAGCGCACAACAAATATCCTCCACTTTAAGACAAATTATTTTCATTGAAAAGGCAGATATACAGAGAGAAGGGCAGAGACAGAAAGATCTCATCCTCTGCTTCACTCCCCAAATGGCCTCAGTGGCTGGAGTTGAGCTGATCTGAAGCCAGGAGCCAGAAGCCTCTTTTAGGTCTCCCACGTGCATGCGTGGGTGCAGGGTCCCAAGGTTTGGGCCGCCCTCTGCTTGCCTTCCCCGGCCGCAAGCAGGGGAGCTGGATGGGAAGGGGAATAGCTGGGACACGAACATAGGATGCCAGCTACTGCAAGAGAAGGATTAGCTAGCTCAGCCATTGTACCAGTCCTGGCTTTCTAAAAGAATTATTTGATAACCAGAGTGACCTTACAAGTGCTGGTTCACTCTTCAGATGGTCCCAGGAGTCAGGAACTTTCTGCAGGCCTCCCTCGAGGCATGCAAGGACCCAAAGAACTTGGGTCATTGTTGGGAGATTTATCCGGGCGCCTTAACAGGGAGGAGCTGTACCAGGTAGTGGAGTAACCGAGTCTTGAACCCGCGATCCACGTGCGCCTGCACGGTCACAAATTCACTTGCTGCACCACAAAGCCTGCCCCTTGGGTCTCCTGTTTCATACATGTATCATACAGAGACCATTTTATGAAAACGTTTATTCCCTACCGATGCCGGGTGCAGGACCTGCCTGCGCGTCAGCGTCCTACGGTGCCGCCCAGCTACCTCCCGTATCTGCTCTTTGTTGGTAATTGCGACGCAGTCGAGACCAGGTTTCCCGAGAAGAACCCTCAGCTTCCGAACCCACGTCTCCCGTCACTCTAGTTTTCTGAGTCGCAGGTGGTCTTGCCCAGGCCGCCCAGCGCGGCGCGCGGCCCTGACGTCACGGCGCCGGGGCGGGGTCAGGGCGGGGCGGCAGGGGGCGGTGCTCACCCTCAGCACGGCGCGCGGCCCTGACGTCACGGCGCCGGAGCGGGGTCGGGGCGGGGCGGCAGGGGCGGGCTGGGGGCGGTGCTCACCCCACCCGAGCCCCCAGCGCGGCGCGCGTCCCTGACGTCACGGCGCCGGGGCGGGGTCAGGGCGGGGCGCCAGGGGGCGGTGCTCACCCCCAGCGCGGCGCGCGGCCCTGACGTCACGGCGCCGGGGCGGGGTCAGGGCGGGGCGGCAGGGGGCGGGCCGGGGGCGGCGGCCCGGCAGGGCGCTCGGGGCCGCTGAGGTGCGGGTGCTTGGGAGGCGGCGGAGCGGCCGGCACGGGCAGGATGTCGGAGCTGCCCGCTGGTCCCGAGCAGAGCGCGCCGGCCGCGAGCCGTGCGGGCTTCGTGCTGGGGCTGGACGTGGGCAGCTCGGTCATCCGCTGCCACGTCTACGACCGTGCGGCGCGGATCCGCGGCTCGAGCGCGCAGAAGGTGACCCGGCGGCGGGCGTGGGACGGCGAGCGGGCGGTGTACCTCAGTGGGTCTGCCTCGGAGGGCTCTGGGTCCCGGTGTGTGGGTCGCTGCTCCTCTCTTGTCACTTGGGGAATTCGCCTCTCGCGTCCCGACTTGCGTGCAAGTGAAGTGCAAGGCAGAACTGTGCTGGGCAGCGCGTGTCCGACCTGAAGGCGGTTGGTGGTGTGTTTGATTCCTTCCCTGCATTTCCTAAATCTCCTGATCTTGACTTTACAAATGAATGGTTCGAATCTGATGGGTTTTACGTCTGTTGTAGATTCTCCAGTGGTCGGAGTGGCTTACCTGAGTAGCTGATACCCATGAGTAGCTGGAACAGGGGGCAGATATTGCAGGCTGTGGGAGTTCTCGCTGTCTTTTTCCCCTCATGGAGGATTCGTGACAATAGATTTTGGTTTGAGATACCTACACCAGGCTGCTTGTCAGTAGTAAAGTCTTGAACGGTTGACAAACTGGATCAGCAACCAGCTGGTTGGTGGCTCCTTTTAGGGTTAAGGCGTATCACATATGGTGTTTTTAGTTTTTCTTCCTTCCAATACCAACAACTTTTTTAAGTAGGAGTGTTTGGGAAGAGGGGAGCCATCATTTGCTGTGTCCCACAGCTATGGAATACTCCCCTTTTTTGCATAAGCCATTCACGAATGTGTGTGTCACCGCAGCAGCTGCCCAGGACCAGGTCCAGCTATAGGGCGAGGAGGTAGTGATTGTGGTGAGCATTTGCAATAAGCTTCGGGTAGGTCTGCAGGTCAGGATGGCCGGCTGAAAACTGCAGAGTGCTCCAGTCCCTTCCCTGAGTAGCCGTGTAGGAGCACTGCCCCCACACCCTGATGCCTGCATTGCTTTTCCTCCATCCCTCTCTTGCATCCTCCTTACTGGAGGCAGCACCTGTTGCTTCCTAGGGTGCCTTTACCAGGAAGCTGGGATGCGGAGTTTGCGGAGTCAGAATTCCAACCCAGTCTCTGTGATCTGGAATGCACGCTCCCAGCTAACATCTTACCTGCTAGGCCCAGTGCCTGCCCCTCCTTAACTTTTTACAAGTCTATTACAAGGACAAGGATACTTTTTACATCTCCCTTACAGTTCTAGACACAAAGTATTTGTATTTTAGGCTGTGATTTTTTTTTTAAATAGAAGAAATGGAAATATTTGGCACCAAAAGGAGAAAGAGAAAGGTTAGAAAATGCCAAATGTCACAGTTGCTGTATGATTTGGAGGGAAACCTTAGTTCCTTAGAAATGTGGCGAAGAATCTCAACCATGAACCAAAATGCCTGGGAGTAGCAGGAGGCTGGAATGATTTACTTAAATAGGTGAATAAATAAAAATGCAAGACAAGTAAGTGGAGAATCCCGACCTTGCAAGAAGGAAGCACTGAGTTGGACTGAAGGATGTGTAACAGTGCGCCTGGAACCCTGGTGTGAGTTTACAGCGGAACACTCTTAAGTGTGGTTCTGGGGCTGCTGGGGTAACAATCAAAACCGCCTAGAAATGTTTGTAGTGATTGATCAGAGCAATTTCAATCCTGCTATCTCTGATAGCAAAACAGTTGCAATTTATCATTTTTGGGGGAAAGTTTATAGAAGTTTAGTTTTAAAATTGATCCAGAAAAAAGGCATAAAAACAACAACAACAACCAACAACTGGCTCTTTAATCCAGATAACTCAGGTTCTCTGGAAACAGGGCCTTGTTATTCTGCATTGCTGCTTAACACCTGGTTGATTAACCTCATTGGGTGCGAAATACTGACTTACAGTTAAGGCATTAGGAATTCCAGTTACCTCATGGGCTTTCATAACAGGGACACAAAATCTGGGGGGGTGGTGGTCGTGTTTTCTCGAGTGGAAGTAACACCTTTGCCAGTGTTTGATGAAAGGAATGCATAATAAAAATGTAAAACCTCCAGTGTAGGCTTTCATTGACATTGCCAAATACAAAGTTTTAAAAGACAAAGAAAAACCAGAAAAAGATACCACGCTAGGGAAAAAGAAGGTATTCTGTGAAAAGTGAGCTGGGAGATGGATGGTCTCTCTGTCTCTTTCTCTCTGGGTCCTTTCCTCCCTTTCTGTTATCCTGCCTTTCAAGTAAGTAAATAAAGCAGTATTTAAAAGGAAATCAAAATCCCACGCATGAAGCTTTCTATTTGGGGATTTGTACTAGGCATCTCAGAAGACTTCAGCTTTGTTTCAGTTGGCATTCATTTTTTCATGTTTCACAGCATAAAAACATTTTTAGCTCTTTTTTCCCCTGTAGTATGTATTTTTGAAAATAAAATTTTCTTATGCATTGTTAAACACTGGTGTTAAATTAGTGGAAGAGTATCTTGTGTTAGAAATGCTACCCATTTGCATTTAACACTTGGGTTTTAAGGAATGGAGATCTGTCATGTCCCTCAGGAGAACATCGTGTCTTTGGGAGAATCCATAAAATAGGATAACATCTTGGTTGGGAGAACAGGACAGTCTGCCTTCAAAGGAACAGTGTGGTCTCTAATATTTTGTATGCCCTCTGTGTGTTCTTGGAGTAGCCTGGTGTGCTCTTGTTTTGTTCTTAAGCAACAAAGACACTTTTTTTCGTAATGTTGATTTAGTTTCTGATCTGCTTTTGTCAAGGAATTGATTTCCCTGTGAACACAGATTTGGGTCACAAGGAGCTGTCCGGGTGGACGGAAGGAGAAGAAGTGACCCTGAAGGTCCACTGTCAAGTCTAAAAGGCTGTAGGCTTGAGGCATGTTTGTTGCAGTTGAACCATCACCATGGTGGTCATAAAAACCTTGCTTACAAAGGTCAGATATGTTATTTAGTGCGTAGGGACAAGATTTCATTCAATCTGTATTTCTGATAAACTCACTGGGGAATAACAGGTTCATTTTCCATGTTCGCCTGTGGCATCGATGTGGTCTCCCCTCTGTCACTGTTTCCTCAGAGTTCCCTGTTTTTCTGGGTCTTGCCCATTTTTGCATGTGAGCAATTTCCCCTAAATTGTGATCTTCCTCAATTTTCATTTTGTTCAACGAGTCTTAGCCCAGTACTCAGTTACAGCAAGTATGGAACTTCTCTGACTCAGCCCCACCAGAGGACAACCCGTTGATTACCGTGAGCCAGGCTGGAGAGGTCAGTGAGTTGGGGAGGGGGCACTGGCCATCCTTACAGAAGACTGAATTAGTCCCCCATTCAGCCTTGCTGGCATTTCAGTGTTCAGAGTTACCTCTCATTTCCAGGGTTCCACCTCAGAATCTCTTCCCTTTGCTTACAAGTTTGCTCATATATCGGCCTTTTTAATGGAATAATTGGGAAATCCTAAGCACTTCTAGGTACTGGAAGACAAATGAACAAAGAAGACACACTCCCTACCCTCTTGGTGGAGTGGGAGACTCTGGCCTTTTTTTTTAAAAAAAATTATTATTATTAACTTATTTATTTATTTGAAAGGTAGATTACAGAGGGAGGGAGGATGGGAGAATGGGAGAGAAAATCTTCCATCTGCTGGTTCACTCCCGATGACTGCAGTAATGAGGAGTGGGCCAGATGGAAGCCAGGAGCCAGGAGGTTTAGCTGGGTCTCCTCTCTGGATAGGGTATCATTTTCCCTGCTTTTCCAGACTCATTGGCAGAGAACTGCATTGCAAGTGAAGCAGCTGGGACGCAAACTGGCACTCACTTGGGATTCTGGTCTCATGGGTGCCACAGTGCTGTGCTGCAGCCCTGTTTGATTTTGAGGAGTGATCAGTTTGACCCAGAGTGGAACCCCTGAGTGGAATCCAGGAATTGCGCCGAGGGCTAGAGTAATCTGACATTTGTCTTCTATACTAAGCTATGTGCCACCTGTGCATTCACTGCTCACATCAAAAAAGTTTTTAAAAAATCTAGTCTGATCTTGTTTGCCCCCCTCCTCTTTGTCTTTGTGCATTTAAACATTTTTAATGCTTTCCTTTGGGGGGGGGTAGATTGGATTTTGATTGATTGATTTGAAAGTCAGAGTTACACAAAGGGACAGACACAAGAAGGAATCTTCTATGCTCTCACTCACTTCCCCAGTGACTAAAGAGCTGGACTTGGCCAGGTGGAATCCTGGAGCCAAGAGCTTCTTCCAGGTCTGCCACGTAAGTGGCAGGGGCCCAAACACTGAAACCATTTTCTGCTGCTTTTCCTACATCATTGGCGGGCAGCTGGATTGCAAGTGGTGCAGCCAGGATTGTAACTGGTATCAGTAAGGGATGCCGGCTGCACACATGAGAGCTTAACGTGCTGTGCCACAACACCACTCCCTAACATTTGTCTTTGAGCAGTCTTGAGAACAATTGAAAATAGATGTATATGTTCAGGCATGTTTTAACTTGAAACCATGGCATTGTAAAAATTTTTAAAAACTAAACTAAACTAATTTGGTATATGATTTTGGTCTGAGCTGTAGCAAATGTATATGAGTAACTCCCAAAATTCTCTTGTGCCAACCCCTTGTAGTTGCACGCTCCTCTCCCACCCTCCCATGCCCGTATCTAACTTTTGATGACCATTGATCTGTTCTCCCCACTGTAGTGTTGTGTTTTTGAGAATATCAAACAAGTGGTAGCATACTCTAAGTAGCCTTTTGATACTTAATTTCCCAGCGTATTGTCTTTGAGATTCATTCATTTACTGTGCATATCAGTAGTTCATTCTTTTTTTATTTCTGGGTAGAAACCCACTGTATGGAAGTACACACTCATTTGTCTTCTTGTTTTTTTTTTGTTTGTTTGTTTGTTTTGGTTATTCATTTATTTATACTCTAGCATAGTTGTTTAAGGTACAAAGGGTCAAGGGCTACAAGAAAGTGGGTAATACCATTGTTTCCACACTAATATCATCATTTTCCCCCTGTATCTGGGGTCAAGGGAGAAACAAAGGGAAGAATCTCACCCAGCCTCCCTCCCATTCCAGGTCCCCCATGTGAGGCACACTCTGAGGGTCCTGCTCAAGTAGTTTT